GCTTCTGCTGCTGTTGTTGTTGTTGCTCAACAAGAACTACTTGGCCATCTTGACACTTTCAGCGCACGGCTGTGGCCATATCTTGGTAGACATATGTCACTCCAGGCTGCGTCTCTCTTTGTCTGCCACTCGCGTGGCACTCTGTGCCACAAGCGAAGGGAGACAACCGCCGCAGTCGACACGTGTTTGTCAGCATGTCAAGCGGTCGAGTGCACAGCAGGAGTGTGAAATAGACAAAGATATAATAATGTATTATATGCATAGAGAAACGGCATGTGGATGTTTCAGATGTTCTTTGAAATATGTTAACAAATTGTCAGAGATTTCTCAGTTTGTTGATTGGTTGCTTTGAGGCGTTCATGATTCTATTTTCTGTATTTCAATGGAGAGCATTTCTGAATGAGTTGCAAAAACTTTGCTGTTGCTCCAATTGTTTTTAGTTTTTTGCTCTTTAATATTTACGTTGAGCAAACCTGTCGCATGCTTTGACATTTATTAAATTTGTTGAACTTTATTGCGCTTCTGATGACAAGCAGAGAAAAAAATATAAAAGTTCATATATTTTTTGCTGACTACTGAAAGTTCTATATCTAAATATTTTTATTTTATTCATTTATTTTATTTGGCATATGTATTTTGGGAATGAAACCGAATGCTAGTTGCTGATATCAATTTTTCTTATTTTCTACAAATCTGGCTCACAGAATGCAAATTAGACGAATTCAAATTTTTTGCCCACCGAGGCAGATAGACAAATTCATATTTTCCAGTGACTTGTTAAAAAAATCAAATATTTGACAGAAAACTGAAAGTTTCAGCATAAATAATCAATACAATTTCCAGTAATTGAATAGCTCAGAGAGTTTTTTCTGCATTTTGTGTGCTTGTTACATAAATAAATATAAAATTAAAATATTATAGATCAAATTTTAAAAGATTCAAGAATGCTACTGAATTTCAGCTTATATTTTTAACATATCTATTTTCAACTTTAATTTTAAGTTTATTATTATATATGTTTATTTATATATTTGTATAAAAAGTAATTCTATTTTTTCTATTTATGTTTCTCTTTACAGTTTGTGAGCATTTGAAGCACCAAGCACCGCATAGGTGTTAAATTTGTTTTGATTGAACTGCGCAAACTCCGGAAACGTCAAACGTCAATCGAAGCAGCGCTGCTTCAGTCGCTGCGTCTGCCGCTGCCACTGCCACTGCCGGTGCCGCTGCCTTTGCCTTTGCCAATGAATGCTCACTCGAACGTTTTCCCGTTAGACAAGTCTTCAGTTATTTAGCGGCTTTTGTGCGCAACGCAACTGAACGGAACGACGTGTTGCCGAAACGTTGAGCGTAACGAGCAACGCGTTTAACGTAAGCAAAGTAATAACAGCAACAACAGAGACAACAACAATAACAAATAACTATCCGGCATTATAACGAATGTTTTCCCCTGTGTCAAGGGAGCGTAAAAATAGAAAAAAAATCGAAGTGAGGCAATAAATAAAAAGCCAACGACCCTCGTGTGTGTGTGTGTGTGTGTGTGAGTGAGTGTGTGCATTGGTATAGGTATGTGTGTTTACCCAATACATAGAAAAACAAGAGAACCAATAACTTGTTGTCTTTGCCATGTGCTATATCAATTAGCAGAGGATTACATACCCTAGCAATTTCATTGATTCGATTATGTTGCAATGCAAATAAAAGATTTAAGCAAACAGCTAAGAAACATAAAAACAGCGAAATCAAATTAAATAAGCTTAATTTAAAACTAAATGAATAGAATATATTGAAATGGATTTTTGCATGCAATAATCTAATATATATATAATCTAATATATATCTAATATACTACAAATGTAATAAACTTGTTAGCTGTGCTTGTTTCTTAGACAATTAATTAAGGAGACTTAGGCAACTTAGCTTATCCATTGTTCTTTTCAACTTATTTTTGCTTCTGTTGTTTCTCTTGCAATATAATTAATCTTAACCCATACACACACATATATTCATACGTATATCAATATAAATTAATGCAAATATGATAATTGCGTGGTTCGTTGCTCGAGTCGTGAATATTTAATGCTTTCGCGTGGCTTTCGCCCAGTTGACATCCTGTGAATGCAATTCAACTGTCGAAATGGTCGCAACGGTCGTACATTATAACGGTTTTTCACCCACAATTATGCGCATATGAATTTAACCTCCTTTTAGAATCTGTTTGTGTGTGTGTGTGCGTGTGTGTGAGTGCGCGTTTTACATAGCGTATGCATTTTTTTAATTAAATGCTAAAATAACTCAGCTGTTAAAGGCTGCAACAGTGGTGTTTGTTGTTCTGGCTCCTAATTAAGTTCTCTAAGTGTACATGTGTGTGTGTGTGCGTGTAAATGTGTGCAAGCTATATTTAAATTTTATATTTGCTCTTGCAGCACGTTGATTCTATAAACAAGCGTGTACACCGCATCACAGTGAAAACACAATTCAAGCATAAAAAAACAACACTTTTAATATAAACAAAAAATCGGAAAAAAATAAAAAAAAAAATAAAGTGAAAATTCAACGCACTACAACAACAGAAAAGTGAGTAATTTTATTATTTTCCATTATTTTTGGCACAATGAGTCATGCAATGTGTGGGATGAGCGAATGAACTACTTTTAATTAATGAAATGGCCATTCATGTACAAATATTGTTAATCACGAATGATCTATAATAACACTTAAACCAAAATTGCTTTCAAAAATACAATTTCCCAGTAAAAAAGAGGAAATACAACATATTCATGCATATAAATACATTTATAAGTACACATATAATATAATTTGTTCATAAAGACAGAGTATCATCTATTTATAGTCTATAAAATATCCCATATTGACTCTATTAATTCAAGGACTAAAACGAGACATTGACATCATTCATTAGGCTTGTTGATTCGATTTACATGTGTTTCCCGTAAGTCGACGAGCTACTCCACATCATGTGTATGGCTATCAAATGCAGATAAGACAAGTCGCATTAAATAGCCATGCAATGCACTGAATGAGCGCAAACTAAGTGGAGGTGATTACGCTTGATCAGCTCATGGAATTTGTCGCTTATATCCTGAAAATCAATCAACATTTGTAGCTGTCGCAAATTTGTATTGAAAGCAATCCATTTACTAGCACTTGCCATATGAATCAATATGCAAATCTCGATGTGTGCGCAAGCTGCCGAGCTCCCCCCCCTCTCTCTCTCTCTCTCTTGCCCTCTCTCTTTACCTTTCCCCATTTTGGGTGCCAGCTGGACTGCCAGGCTGCCAATCTGTCCGCCTGTCATTCAACCTTTAAGCCAACCGCCCACATGGCCAACATGGCGCTGCGTTCCGTTGCGTTGCCTTCAGTCCGACAGTTGGCATTTTGGCATATTTAATTATCTGCCAATTCATCAGCGCGTGGGACTTAAAAGTATATTGTTTATTTGTCTTTGCTACGTCCAAACAATATAAAAAAAAAAAACAACAGAAAAGCGCAAACATTGCTGTTATTATAACAAAGGCGTACAAAGCCAAACAAAAATACGGCAGCAGCAGCAACAGTAAACAGCTGCAGGAATGCTATCGTCGGAGCAGGAAAACCAGGCAGGGTCTGTGGCCACGCCCACAAAAGTGCTGTTGGTGTATGGCGAGCGTAAATAGCAATTGCTGAGTTTAGCTAAAGCCGCCCAACATTACATTAAAACCGAGCCGCACATTACGTATACGCAACGTGTGCACCCGAAATTAGCAGCCATCACAATTTCAGCTTTGCAGTGTGTTCGTGACCTGACCCATGTATGTGCCAGGCTGTGATGCCTATCTGCCATCAATATAATTGCCGGGGCACTTCTGTGGCACTCGAATCGCGTGCTGTCCATTTGCGGTCACTCAGCATGTTGTTGCATGAAATTGTAGCTGTGACCTGCCCTCATAGTCTCTGCCGAGCATAATTACACTCACACTTGGAGCTAATAAAGAAAACATTCGCTCAAATATATATTAGATTTTATTATATTCTATGAGCCTCACATAAAAAGCCCGCAAATGGCAGCTCAACATGTGCGGACAGGCCAATGAAAATAATTTTATTACATTGAATTAGCTGCTGAGATGTGCCTTAAACAAGCACTTCATACCTCAAACAAGTTCTAAAAGCTTCTCTCAGTCCAATGTATGTCACAAGATGATTAGCCTTTTATTACTATTCGACAACATAAATGAACTTGGGTTATAAAAAAATACACATAGTTGCCTTTAAAGAGCTATTCATGCCCACAAAGCCCCTTGTGTATGACAAAGCAACGCTGACGAACCCATATCAAGCCATTCGAGCGTGAGCATGAACTATCTGCGACAATTTGTTAACATATTTCAAGGAACATCTGGAACATCCACATGCCGTATTCTCTATGCATATAATACATTACTTTATCTTTGTATATTTTACACTCCTGCTGTGCGCTCGACCGCTTGACGTGCTGACAAACACGTGTCGACTGCTGCGGTTGTCTCTCTTCACATGCGGACAGGCACCTCAATCCGAGTCGCCGACAATGGGAGAAGCAGCTTGGAGTGACATACATCAACATGAGTGCAGCCAGCTTAGCCAATTTCAGGCTAGATCTAGCCATGCATCGAAAATGAGTATGGAATGGAATAGCCAGCAATTGAGGCAGTCCAAAAGCGAACTATAGAGCAAACGAAACTTCTGTCTATGTTATCTAATAATTAAAAGTATTGGCATACAAAAGTTATTTAGCATATTAACACTTGCCCTTATAATTATATATAGCCCGCTGGCCTATACCCGTTCGTATATCTGTATACATGTCTCACTATCTGCCTCCGTGTCCACTTCACAGTCTGTCTCTCTGCCCAACAAAAGCAAAAGGCGAAGAAGAGCTACAGACTATCATTTAATTTATCTGTAAGTGTGTACAATTATTAATTCGTTATTGATATTCAGGTAAAGCGAAGCTGAATGCTTCAAGCAGCAGAGAGTGTTCTCATTGGTCAGCTAAAGCTAGATTGCAACGATCTCTACCTGGCACCGGGCTGAACATTTGAGCGCGACTGAATGTGAGAGAAGGTGCCCTATAAAAGGGCAGCAGCTGCAGCCTTTCTTCAGTCGCCCAGGCCTGGTGGGGTCAATCCTGAAGTGCAGTAAAGTGAAGTGAATAAATTGTGAAGTGATTATTCAGCTGAGCGTTAAAAGGGAAATACTTGGAAGAAATATTTATAGAAAATATTTATAGGAAATAAGTAAGGGAAATTCTTAAGGGAAATATTAAGAGCAGATATATAGAAGAAACTCTTATAGAAACATTTAGTGCAATTCTTACAAGAAATACTTAGAGGAAATATTTGGAGCACTTACTAGGAGGAATTATTAAGAGTAAATACTTAGAGACAATACTTAAAGGAAATATTAAAAGTAAATACTTCGAGAAAATACTTCGAAGAATTTCTAAGAAGAAATACTTTGAAGCAGTATTTAGAGGAAATATCAAGAGGAAAATATTAGCCTACTCTACGCCAATATAATTGGCGAAATTTTGGATAGGGCTAAATATTGTGTGAAAAATTAAGTTAAGTTTTTTAAAATTTTATTTTGATGAGAAAAGAGGTAAAAAATAAAATTTCTAAAGTATATTAGCATTGTTTCCTAAGCTTTAACCCAACACGCTATTCCAGGACTTATTTATTTTAAATTTTTATCCAGTTTTAGCCTACTTTTAATCACTATCCAACTTCTAAAGCGAGCAACACTGGTCAACATATGTCTTGATGTGGCTACGGTCGAACGCTGAAAACGTCAAGTTAGCCAAGTAGTTGTTGCCTGCCACAACAATACCAACAGCCACAACAAAAACAGAAGA